TGCGGCGGCCAGCGCGGCACTGCTGAGCATGATGAACAGCAGGATGAAGTTGGTGAACCAGGTGGCGTTGACGATGCGGTGACACAGGACGCGGATCCTTCAAGGGAGGCAGGGGTGGGGGATGGTTCAGGGGAGCTGTGAGCTGCCGGGTGCTCAGGCCTTACTGGCTTCTGTCCTGCGGGGGGACACTGTGCCCTCTCTCCCTCTCTCCCTCCCTCCCTCCCTCCCTCCTGGGTCAGTGGAGAAGGGTAGCAAGCGTCTGCATGGTCCTCCGGCTGGGCATGCCGAAGGCCCCACCCCTCGTTCTGTCCGGCAGCCTCTGTCCTATCTCCCAATCCCACCGCCTGCCCCTCCCCAACACTCCCACCACCCCCGTGTCCCCACCAGAATGGGGCAGGCTGAGCTCCATCCCTGAGGCGGTCAAATGAAACGCCTCGAACATTGGTCTGTGCATTTTACAGGTGTGAAACCATGAAGCCAGCAAGGACTACGGCTTCCTCCGGTCCCAGCCCCTCGTCCTGTCTAAAATCGCCCTTGAAAAGGAGCCGGTGCACGCAGAGCCTCTTAGGCGCAAGTAACAGATACGGTCCAACGCGTCACCTTGCCCAGAGAGGCTAGCCTTTCAGACACGGCACGAGATCGTACGCTAAAGGAATGAGCTTCTCACAGTATAGTGTAGGCTCGGAGAATCAGGAGCGGGGCTTTTCAGGGCAGGGAGTCAGCCCTCTCTGAAAACCCTGTAAGTCTCCCCATATGGCAGCCACGGGGCCACCCACTTGTTGGTGGGGCTGAAGATGAAGAAGGAGCTGGCTTCAGGGATGGGCACGGCTTTCTCTTTCAGCTGCAGCTCGGCCAAGGGCCTCGGTCGGGGGCTCACTGGGATCTCAGGCTCGTCTTCTTCATCGTCCCCTGTGGGGAGGGGAGAGAGAGACATGAGGGTGTCTTTCTACACTTTCCTGCTCCCGTGGCTTCTGTGCTCCGAACCCCACCACGAGCCCCCAGCAAGCAGCAAGCAAAGGCGGTGGCAGGCCAGCGCAGGGCACAAGGACGTCGGCAGAGTCCAGCCCAGGTGCCTCCCTTTCCCCGAAGCAGGCAGCAGGTTTGAACGGTCAGGCCCAGAAGCTTCCAGAAATGGGGCCGGGAGCAAGGCCGGACCTTGCTATTGTGTCCTCTGTCTCAGGGCTGGGCTCACAGCATCTCCGGTGCTCACGAGCTGGGGGTGGAGGGTTCCAGGGAGGGGGCACACGAGAGACCGTCCCCGGGGAGAAGCCAGCCCCAGCCTCCTCCCCACATCGTCCCAGGACGCTCACCTGGGAAGTCAGCTGAGGGGTAGGGGTCCTTCACCTCGTTGACGTTCGACTCAAACTCATCGATTTTCAGCTGTCGGAAGGAACACAGGAATGTGATGACGGGAACAAGGACTGCGGTTGTCCCTTACAGAGCACTCGCTGGAGGACCTGTGCTCCCTGCGGCCCGGGGACAGGCGACCGCTGAGCATGCTCCCTGCGGCCCAGGGACAGGTGACCGCTGAGCATGCTCCCTGCGGCCCGGGGACAGGCGACCGCTGAGTGTTCCCATTTCACATCCATGCCAAGGAAGTCAGATGCGCTGGCCAAGCTCACGTGGAGCCAGCCAGGACGCAGCCCACCTGCACCTGCGCACTCTGCCCCCTGCCCGGTTCTCCAGGAGCCACCTGAGCAATGTGGGCCGGACCCCCGGCCACCTCAAGCCCGGGCCCTGACCCTCAGAGCTCTGCTTCCTCAGACCCCAGGGAGCGTGAGCAGAGCCAGCCTGGGACAAGCATGTCCGTGGGGCTAGAAGGTGGGGAGCACCTCGGGCCTCTCAGTGGGGAGGGGACACCCTGACTGGGTTACGGGGCTGGGACTCAAGTCTGGCTCCCAGATGGGGGCCCCTGCGCCTCGGCACAAAGGATACCCCTGGAGGAGCTATGGCCACTGACCCTCCCCGATGGAGGGGGAGGTACGCTCACCCGGCTGAGACCCGCCCGCCTAGCGCCCGCCCCTCCCCGCTGCCCTGGGCAGGCCTTGTGCTGAGCTCGCCTTGGCCGTGGTGGGGATGCCCTCCCCCTTGGGCTTCTGTTCCAGCTTCTTGGCCACCACCGACTTGTCCTCCTCAGGCTTGTCTGGGAGCCCCCTGCACGGAAAAAGCAAGAAAGCCCCAAGTGGAGGTCCAGCTAGCAAGTTCTCAAGCATCTGCTCAGCCTGGAGACACCCCTGGGGGCCCTGCACCTCAGGCTTCGGGAGCAGCGTCGGCCCCCAGAGGGAAGGGCTGGGGGCCCGGGCAGGTCCTTTGGGACAACGGCACCTGTGGCCCAGCTTGCGCCCACGGCCAAACAGTGCTCACGGGTCAGCCAGAGTCCGGGGCCACTGACGGGGAGAGGCCTTGCGTGCGGTCTGAAGCCCTCCCCGCGTGGGAGAGCTTAGCCCACCACAGAGCGCGAGTCTCTGGAAAGTCGTGGGAAATGTCTGGGCTCCGTCGCTGGCCTCTCTCCCTTCCTGTCTCCTCCTGCCTCCACCAGGGACGGGCACTGGAGGGAGCGGGCCGCTGTCTGGGACTGCGCAGGGCCAGGGCACCGCCTGGAGCATGAAGGAGACGCAGGCTCCACCCGCCCCGGCCTCGGACCCAGAGCCCGCATTCTGACCGGGTCCCCAGGTGGCCCATTCACAGTGAGAGCTGCAGAATCTCTGTGGAGAGACCGTCCTGCTTCCCCCCGAGGAGGAACCGGAGCCACAGAGGCTGAACGACAGACCCGCAGAGGAGGGAATTTTAAGGGACCTCAGAGAAGTCAACCCCACTTCATAGGTGCGAAGCCTGAGGCTCAGCCAAGGGAAATGACCTTCCAGACAGGCGACTCAATGGCTGCTGGGGAGAATTCCTGGATGCCCCCAGTGGTCGCCGGGCCCTGCTGCCCGGCTCTGCCCTCATGTCCCCGAGGCCAGTCTCAAGGCGACGCGCCTGTCATCCCCGGGGACACCTCTCAGGACTTCAGCCCTCCCTGGATCTGCTGGTCGCAGGAGCCCGCACGCTGGGCAGCTGCCACAGTGGCATGGCCCTGCTCCTCAGGTGCCAGGAGCCACCCGCCCCGGAGGCCACCGTGGCTGAGGAGGCTGCACCCACCTTGACATCTTCCTGCGTTTTCTCTCCTCGGCCTTGGCCTTCTGGGCAGAGGTCAGGCTCTCTGCCTCGGCCAGGTTGTCCACTGCGATGGCCAGGAAGACATTGAGCAGGATGTCTGAGGGTATTCAGCTAAGGAGCCTCGGGTTGTTGGGTGGGGGTGGGGGTGGGGAGGCTCTAGGCTGAAATATTCCCCTCCCGCATTCCCGCAGGACTTAACCTCACTCCCTTGCTGGGGTCACTGGAGCCCCTCTTGCCAGAGTCACCCCAAGGAGGGCATGGGCCCAGGGACACAGACAAGCATTCTCGGGGGAGCCTGCCTGCAGAGGGTGCTCATGATGGGGCCTGGAATCACGGTGGCCTTGAGCACCATCCATTTCCCACCCGGGGCTGACCCCGGCCCCCACCCGGCTGTGCGGAGAGCCCGCAAGGCCCTGCGGGAGAGATTCAGTCTGGGCACCCAGGAGCTCGAGGGACAAGGGTTCCCTCCCCCGCTGGTGCTGGCATCAGGACCTGGGCACAGCCGGCCCCCTCTGCCCCGTCCGCCTCCCCCTCCCATCTGCCAGCCTTTTCTTGCCCTGCCCAGGCTCACACCGCCTGGTGCCCTGGCCCCTCCCCGCCCGCCTCCCATCGTCCACGGCTCCTCCCCCAAGCCTGCCTTTCCTCCTACGTGCTCAGGCTGCCAATCTTCCCGGACACATTCAGCCCAGGTGCAACCAGTGCCCCTGGCTTGCTCACCTCCCCCTTAAAAGGAACTCTCCTGTAGTAATGCCTGCGTTTGTGGTGTCCTAGCTCCCTGCCCCCCACCCCAGGAGCCTGGGAAGCCCTCTCCAGACAGAGGGCCTGGCGCCTGGCCAGGGGGCACCCTTGACCTGCTTTCAGCCCTTCCCCCAGCCCCCTCCCTAAGCCCTTTCCTGCATCTGCTCTCGGGGGGATACAGTTGCCGCAGACGAAAAGGATGATGAAGTAAACGCACACGAGCACCCCGGGGTAGGAGGGCCCGCCGTAGGCCATGATCCCGTTGTACATCACCGAGTTCCAGTCTTCGCCGGTCAGGACCTGGGGCACGGGCAGGGGCGCTGGGGGTCACAGAGGGTCCGCGAGCCCTCCGCGGGGCCTGCGCAGTCCGGAGGGCCCTTCCACTGTGCCGGACCTTTCCTCTCTGCACCCACGGCCGGCTCGGAAGGTCCCTCCTCTCCCCTCCGCCCACCC